AATGCAGCCAATCTTTTCAGAATCCCCCGCTTTGTATTTTGCGCCTTCGGACGATCAATGTGTGCTAATGCAAAGCCTAGATTGTCGGACTTTGCATCCCATTTCACCCCCAACGCACGCCCTGACGGAAGTTCTCCACTATTCACGTTCTTGTTTGGGACAGCCCTTTCTTCTTCGGGTATTGTTTCCAGGACCTTTCGTGACGACGAGAGCCACTTGCGCATCGGGAATCCACCCTTCGCCATCAAATTTGTCAATAAAAATTAGCAACAGCAATAAAAATTAATTTATACCGCTTCAAAAACAACAACAACAGTTGCGTGAAACTAATCAAATACCAAAAGGTTTATAAACTACAATTATGGTCATTTTTATATGAATGTTAAAAAAATTTATTTACTATTTGCGCGTGTTTTCTAGAGTTTACCGGAAATAATTTCGATATAACTTTCGATATTTTTTCGGTATTTTCTATATTTTCGGTATTTTCCACATTTTCGGTATCCGAAAAATCGGATATTGATATTTTTGAAATTTCGATATTTATCGACTATATATCGTCATCAAGATATCCCAAAAGCCTATCCAGAACGCATCGTATCAGTATGTGTTGCCTTATAAAACAGGTCTAAGGTTACGTTTACACTAGTTAACATGCACCGAATTGTTACAAAATTATGCACAAATTTTTTTGTACAGACTGAAATGTTTGAATCTTAAAACTTCTCAGACATAACTGACGTTCTGTGACCATACAAAACTGTATATTATATTATTAACCTTTATTATATGAGCATTGAATTTTATGCGTGCTTTACCCAAAGAAACATTATGGTGACACGTTAAACTTAACATGCCTACAATTCTTGGTGGATAGAAGAGATAGACTATGCATGCAGAGAACTTTTTAACTCGGCATCTATTAATAATAACCACAAATTAGCGGATTTATTACCACCACTAAATTCAAACAATATAAATATTAGGTCTACCTGACTACCTCAAAATATGACTTGCCAGTTTTAAAGACGAATCGTTTTAAAGACAGTTTTATTAACTATTACGCTTCAAAAGCTCAAAGAGAGTGTATAGTATTTAATTGGTGTAACTATTAGACACAAGATAAAGAAATAATGCGTGGACTTGAAGGAGAGTCAAGCGGTTACAACAAATCCCTTGTGCAAAAGTATAAAACAATGAAACAAGATATTGCCAGGCTAGGATGAAGCTGTAAGCAACCTACCGTGGTATCTGTCCTCAAGCAAGCAGTTCAAAAACTAGGACGATGAAAGAAAATAAAGCCAAGTGCAGGAGAAG